AGCATAGCTGTCAACTTTTCCCTTTTCTTGTGAGGAATCCTATTCGGAATAAGGGAATTTCCCTTAAAAAAGGGGAAATGTTGACAGCTAAGACGAGGAGCTGGGACAAGAGTAAAACACCCCCCCTGAGTTTCAGCAGAGATAAATATGAATTTCTGCATTTAGGCAGGAAGACCTGGAGGCACAGAGTACAGGACTGGTGAAATCTGACTTGGCAGCCTTGCACGTGAACAGGACCTGAGGAGTTTTAGCCGGCCACAAGCTCAAGCAACGTGACTCAGCTGTGCGATGCATTTGCAAAAAAAGAGAGGCCAGTGCAGTTCTAGGATGCATCAGCGGAAGTATCGGGCCCACAAGAAGTAATGGGGCTGACCAATCCTGCTTTGGTCAGACCTCTCACTGCGTCAAGATGTGGGCACCGTCATTTAAGGAGGATGTTAGCAAACTGGAACGTGTTCAGAAATGGCAAAGGAACTTAAGTGTTAAATTGTGAGTTGGGTATGTTCAGTCTGATGAAGAGATGAATTAGTGCAGCGTTGTTCAACTCTGGATCCCCAGATGTTGTTGAACCACAAATCCCATCACCCAAGGTAGTTTTGCCCAATGGTCAGGGAGAATGGGAGTTGTTGTAGTCCAACAACATATATGACTAGAGGTTGGGGAAACACTGATTTAGAAACAATTCCATAGCTGCCTTCAAATATCTGAAGGGCTGGCAGATAGATGATGGAGCAAAAGTGTTTTCTGTGGCTCTGAAGAAGCATAATAATAATAATAATAATAATAATAATAATAATAATATTTATATGCCACCCATCTGACAGGGTTTTCCCAGCCACTCTGGGCAGCAGGGGTGCCAACTTGAATAAAATATTGTGGGGGCCCAAGGTAAGCCCCACCCCACATAAATGATCACATGACGCACTGCACACACACCATTTGAATCAACTTTTGGGGGCCTGGCCCCCTCAACTATTTTATTGTGGGGGTCGAAGCCCCCACAGCCCCTAGGAGTTGGCTCCTGTGCTGGGCAGCTTCCAACAATTATGAAACCACAGTTAAATATCAAACATTAAAAACGTCCCGATACAGGGCTGCCTTCAGGTGTCTTCTAAAAGTCAGATAGTTTTTTATTTCCTTGACATCCGATGGGAGGGCGTTCCACAGGGCGGGTGCCACTACCGAGAAGGCCCTCTGCCTGGTTCCCTGTAACCTCACAATGAGGGAACCACCAGAAGGCCCCTGGAGCTGGATCTCAGTGTCTGGGCTGGACAGTGCGGGTGGGGTTCAAATTTCAATAAAGGAGGTTTCAATTAAACCTAAGAAGGAGCTTCCAGAAGATTCCTAGAGGAAGCAGCCATACTCCGAGTCAGACCAGCTTGGTATTGTCAACATTACCCACACCAAACTTGGAAAGCACATTGAGTGCACTTTTAAAGCACATAGACCCCACTACCACCTAAATACTCCTGGGAATTATAGTATGTTAAAGGTGCTGGGAACTGTAGCTCCAGCAGTAGTCCCTAGGACTCTTTTTGTGGGGGGAGTGATGTGCTTTCAATGTATAGTACGGATGCTGTCCAATAATGAGACAGCAGCTACAGATCATGGATGCTGGAGCAGCAGATGTCCTGCACGGGGGGTGGGGGGTGGGCTGGGCTAGAGGACCTTTGAGGTTGCATCCCGTGCTATGATCCTGTGAAAGCATCTCTTCTTCTTCTTCTTCTTTCTTTGGCGATCACTCGTAGCCGAGTAAGATTGTCTTCCATAAACACGGTTTTAACAATGAGTCCATAAGTGACTGTGGAGGCCAATTCTGGATCCACACATCCTTCCACAGTGGGGACATCAGTTTCCCGGTGGGAGTTGATCACAGTGTGGATTTGCCAAGCGTGCCTTCCTCTTAGCACGTTTCTCAAGTTCACCTGTCTTCCCAAGTGATGTGTAAAAATTTTCGGAGACACCGCTGAGGGAATCTTTCGAGGAGCTGGAGATGGCGTTTATAAGTGGTCCATGTTTCACAAGCATACAATAAGGTTGGTAGTACAATAGTCTTGTAAACAAGCATTTTGGTTTCCCTGTGAATGTCCCAGTCCTCAAACACGCTGCACTTCAATCAGGAGAAAGCTGCACTCGCAGAGCTCAGGCGATGCTGGATTTCGGCATCAGTGCCGGCCCTTCTGGAAAGATAACTGCCCAGGTAGGAGAAGTGATCAATATTTTCTAATGTTACACCATTGAGTTGGATTTGTGGTGCTGCAGAGGGGTTATTTTGTACTTGTTGGTGCAGCACTTTGGTTTTTTGGATGTTGAGCGATAGGTCAAGCTACTAGCGAGATATGGTGACTTTGCAAAGCTTTTAACTGCGTATGCCACAAGCGCCCATGATACCTCGCCGGAATGGTCTTCCACAGCCTTCGTCATCTTGGTGGCTGCCAAATGTTGAGGCTGGATTCCCCCCAGAAACATAATAGAAACTGTGCTGTGTGGTACTTTGGAGAGGTAAATGGCAGAGAAGCCAGGAATCCCAGCCTGCCTCATTCCTCACTGAAGCCACATTCCTTGCCTAGTCACAGGGTTCAGTATCATAAATAAAAGCTCCTTCCTTCAACTCAGCTTCCACAATACTCTGTCCCCAGAGGCTCAAGGGACATAAGCGTGTCCTTTTTTTTAAAAAAAAAGCAATGTACGGCACGTGCAACACACCACCCCACAGACATAAATTGCCGGTAATTTAAAATCTAGTGTCCAACTAATAGCCTCGATCTGTCAGATGTCTTCCCTCAAACAGAAAAAGCAGCTTTCTAAACAAATGCTGTACAGAGAAACTCAAAACGTAAGGGGGAAATTCTGGAAACGTGGAGGGCTTAGCATAAAAGCAAGGGCTCTCTGTGCATGCTCAGAGGGTCTGTTTGTTATTAGGGTTCTTGACAGGTTCCAAGCCCGAGTTTCGGGCTTGGAAACAAGCACCAAGGGAGGAGGAATGGCAGGGCAGGAAAATGACTCCGCAGTTGGACTTTGGCTCCTGCTGACCAGCCCGACCAGTTTTTCCTGCTGGGTGATATCCAGGACTAAGGTGGAAGCCATCCTTATCTTCAACCCTTCACATCAGCTGGTTTATCCCAGTAAGATTCACTGTCGTGGAAACATATATTGCCAGTGGGTAAACTGAGGTAATTGGCTTTAATTGCGCAACCTGAATTGCACTTGAAAATGGCGACAGTCTGGAAGCACCTTTGGACTCATGCTGACATCTCTCCCTCAGCTATAGTCCTAGGCTGGTTACTCGCCCCCCTCCAACCAAACCTACCTCTCAGGGTTGTTGTGAAGACGGAACGCAAATGGAGGAAACCCTAATCTCTTTGGAGGAAGGTTTGGATAAAATAAAGTAAGCAAATAGATAAGGATGGGGGTGGGCACTGGTGCCTGGGTTCCCTCATACTAAACCAAAACCAAAACCACCCTTATCCATTGCACCACACGTTGATGGATAAGGATTCTTTAGTTGTGATTCCTGCATTGCAGCGGGTTGGGCTAGATGACCTTTGGGGAACCCCTTCCAACTCTATGATTTCATGACTTGTGGATTAACAAACTACAGTTCCCAGGATTCTTAGCTTGGGGTGTGTGTATTTTAACTGCATAGTGTGCTTTGCAGCCTCTCTCTCTGGAAGGCATCTGAGAGTATAACCAGCCACAAGAGAAGATGTCAGCAGTGTCATATTTATTCCTGGCTCTGGGCTTCAGAAGAATCCCGGGCCCAGCTGGGAGAAATCCAGTCTCCTGGTTTTCCTCTCCACCTGTCCTTCTTTGACCCCCACCAGATCTATCTTTGGCTTTGCTGGGTTCTCTGATAAACAGAGTGCTGGGGATGGGGACTGCTTGCAGCCCGGGGCCGAGGTGAGCACGATCACCCCAGAGGCTTGGGTTACAGCCGAGGGAATCACCTTGGGTGCCCTTGGGCAGAGGCTGAAGTCAGGGAAACCTGGAAGAATACCCATTCTGTGCATTTGGCACAAATCTATCTACGTCTTTCAAGGCCCAGGCAGTTCTGACAGCCACCCAGAAATGTTTTGGGTGCTTTGAGTTGTGGAAGTTTCCCCATAGAGGTGAGTGGCAGACAGCCCCACCAACCTCAGCCACCAGCCCCTGTTGGCCCGCCTTCTTCCTTACAACCAATCAGGAGGTGGCTCTGCCCGCCATTGGTATGGGCTGCATCTACATACTTCTGGTCTCCCTACCAGTCCTAACAGGCACCACCAACCACAAGTGGCTTCGAGGAAGGGGTGTGGACTTCCAATTATTATTAACTGTTATAACAAAGTTGTCCCTCCATGTTCAGAAGCAGTGTACAGTAGAATGTTAGTTGCTGAGGACAGATGAGTTTTCTGAAGACACCTGCCTGGGGACTGTTGGAAATCGCATGGCAGACTTGAGGGGCCTCTGGACTGAGCCAGCAAACTGAGTCTTGTTCCACAAATTTACGTTTTCACCAGGAATGAAATTGCCAGGGGTTGGAGTATGTGACCATTTGGGTCCTTTCCAATGCTACAATTCTATGATTTTACACAGTGCTTTTTTCTGGGGGGTACACAGAGGTACACATACCCCTAAACATTTTGTGAATCTTTGTACTTTTGTCCATTTGCAGTATTTATTTTCCCCCAATTTGAACTATAAAATGGTGATTTTCTTGAGTCAAAATGAGAGTACCCCTAAACATATATATCTATAGATGATAGATAGATTTTACATATATGTATGTGGGTGAGGCAGATGATGCATTTCAGTGTAGCAATATTGCAGATCTTTCTAATATCATGCTTCAGAAGATCTTCAGCAATTGCACTCATATCTGTCCCCATATACTTCTGCTGTTTAGGAGTATGGTGGAGTCTCCTTCTTTGGAGGTCTTTAAGCAGAGGCTTGACAACCATATGTCAGGAGTGCTCTGATGGTGTTTCCTGCTTGGCAGGGGGTTGGACTCGATGGCCCTTGTGGTCTCTTCCAACTCTATGATTCTATGATTCTAGGAGTTCTAGAATCATAGCATCATAGAATTGTAGTGTTGGAAGGGACCCCAAGGGCCATCTAGTCCAACCCTCTGCAATGCAGGAATCTCAATTGCAGCATCTGTAACAGATGGCCGTCCAACCTCTGCTTAAAAACCTCCAAGGAAGAAGAGTCCACAACCTCCAACCCCCTGCAATGCAGGAATCTCAATTGCAGCATCTGTAACAGATGGCCGTCCAACCTCTGCTTAAAAACCTCCAAGGAAGGAGAGTCCACAACCTCCCGAGGGAGTCTGCTCCACTGTCGAACAGCTCTTACTGTCAGAAAGTTCTTCTTGATGTTGAGTCGGAATCACCTTTCTTGGAACTTGAAGCCATTGGCTCTGGTCCTACACACCGGAGGAGGAGGAAAAAAGCTCGCTCCATCTTCCAGGTGACAGCCCTGCAGATATTTGTCATTGGCATGCAGACAAACTCTTGAAAATCTTAGGTGGCTTGCGAAAATGATTTTTTTCCTCCCAGGAGAGGTGAGCTCTCGCTGGGAACACCAGAATGCAATACAGGGGCTCATAATGCCAGTCAGTTTTAGAGAGGTGTTGTAATGATGGCTTAGAATGAAGTGCAGCACATCTCAAGCACATCAAAGCTTCTGTTGTCTCTTCCAACAGCCTGTTTTCACAAAAGGCCTTAAAATTGCATTACAGTGATACCTTGGGTTAAGAACTTAATTTGTTCTGAAGGTCCGTTGTTAACCTAAAACTGTTCTTAACCTGAGGTACCACTTTAGCTAATGGGGCCTCCCACTGCCCCCGCACAATTTCTGTTCTCATCCTGAAGCAAAGTTCTTAACTCAAGGTATTATTTCTGGGTTAGCGGAGTCTGTAACCTGAAGCCTCTGTAACCTGAAGCGTCTGTAACCCAATGTACCACTGTATATATGCAGGGAAATGGTTTGCCCATTTTGTCTCAAGATATTGTCACTAAACCCGGCGCAAGAGTCCCTCAGGTTCCACCATTTTGAAACAGGGTGTCAGACTGAAACAAAACTCTGCCATGACTCTGCCTGTTTTCTGGCCTAGGTCCAGCTGCCTCTTGAGATCTTGTCGCCAGCTTTGGCAGTTTGGTTGGAGTTCTCCATCGGCGTTTGGACACCGGGTGTTATTTTGATTTAAGATGCCAGAGGAAAAATACGTAACTTTGGCGTGTCTTCACCCCCTTTTTTGGCACCAGTTTAGCCACCTCTCGAGATAACATTGCCATCGGTTCCCAACATTGGGGTGGGGTTTTCATTGATGTTTGGAAGACAGGCACCATTTTGAATCAAGATGGCAGACCAAAATGTGACCCTGGTGTGATGTCGCCCAGTTTTTGGTGACACAGAAATTACACTATCCATTAAAAAAATAATCCACGATATATATTTTTTATTTCTAAAAATACTTGGGCAGTGCCAGGCACTCCTCACTAACTTACATATAGATAAATTACAATGTTAGTAGCCTGAATAAAATAAACATGCATGTAAATGCATAAATGGGGAGGGGTAGCTCATAAGCCTAGCCAAGGGGGGAGAAGTTGCCCCCCCCATGAAGTAGAACAATAGAAATACTTAACTAACTGACCAATCACGTCGGTTATGCCCCCTAACAAAAGTCCGGCCCTTCCCCAACAAAAATCCTGGCTACTCCCATGGTGGAGCTGTGTGTGTGTGTGTGTGTGTGTGTGTGTGTGTGTGTGTGAACAAGGAAAGTTTCCTGAACATTCAGCATGCAATGTTAATGTCCAAAAGTCTGGGTTTTGCTGCCCTCTGGTGTCCATAATATGCCATTGCTGCTTACATCTCTCCCCCCCTCTTCCTTCGCTACTGTTGCTGTTGTTACCATAATGGTTGCTAATGTATCTTTTTATACGAACTGCGAATCGATCCCTGCACCTTTGAAATATTGCAGGGATCAAGAGCAATTTGTGTCGAGACTGTTTTGAATCTTTTCTGCTGGCTTCCGTTTTGCTTCAAAGCAGAAATTTGGCAATGTCAAATTCAATAAATTCCTGTTTCACAACCTCCTTATCCCAAGCAACAGCACCATCTCTCCATTTCTTTCCTTTTTCTTTTCCCGCTAAGGTTTCTGCTCAGAAATCGACAGAACATGAGTCCCAGTAGAGCAAGTGGACTTGAGAGAAAGTTTCCGTCTCTCTTTGTTTAATAGTCCTTAGGACTGGATTGTTAAAAAAATATTATTTATTGATTTTTCACAAAAAACTTTACATATTTCAGCATGGATCATAAATTGCTTTATCCATTGGCTTCCCGTCCCCGCTTCCATGGTTTCCATATTTACCCCTAAATGCTGTATATTTCACATATAATATCCAATACATCCATGTTAACCTATTGATCTTTATAATTAACTCTCTTAACATTCCAAGTCCTGCTCGTGTCAAAAAGTCTCAATTAAAAGTCTCTAGTCCTCAAGGAACTTTTCAACATTTTGGTCTCTAATCTTTGCTGTTAATCCTGCCAGTTCTGCATACTCCATTGTATTCAAAAGCCAATCTTCCTTTGTTGGAACCTCTCCTTCCTTCCAACATTTTGAACCAGAGGCATGAGTTTTGAACATGGCCCTCCAGCCCCCTCCATCTGGCCCTCAGAACTCTCCCCAGGCCAAATGCCTCACTGCTCTCCCCAACTTTGGACCGTGAATGGTTCTCCTTAGCTGTTATGTGTCCTTGGACTCCAAAAAATGCTTTTTGCCTGCTTGGAAGGAAGATTGAGATGGCCCATTAAGGGCAGGCAAATCTATCAATTTCAGTTTCTCATTTTTCCATCTTAAGTTCATTTCTTCTCATTTCCACATCAGTTTGCCAAGGTTTTTTGTTTTTTTAAAACATCTCCTCATGAAAATGTAACAAGCATCTAGGTGCAATTTTTTTCCTGAATATACCCATTTTTAATTCAATTTTCTCAAACATATATACAGGAGTGCTCTGATGGTGTTTCCTGCTTGGCAGGGGGTTGGACTCGATGGCCCTTGTGGTCTCTTCCAACTCTATGATTCTATGATTCTATGAACTTTCTTCATGATCTAATGCATCTTGGTATGCTATTTTCACTCACACAGGCATTTTTAAGCACACCCTAACACATGGGTAGGCAAACTAAGGCCCAGGGCCTGAATCCTGCCCAATCGCCTTCTAAATCTGGCCCACGGATGGTCCAGGAATCAGAATGTGAATGTAGAATGAATGTGTCCTTTTATTTAAAATGCATCTCTGGGTTATTTGTGGGGCCTGTCTGGTGTTTGTACATGAGTAGAATGTGTGCTTTTATTTAAAATGCATCTCTGGGTTATTTGTGGGGCATAGGAATTCGTTCATTTCCCCCCCTTCAAAATATAGTCCAGCCCCCCACAAGGTTTGAGGGACAGTGGACCGGCCCCTTGCTGAAAAAGTTTGCTGACCTCTGCCCTAATATATACAGTTCTGAACTCATCATTTGGCAGCAGAAGTGTCCTGCAAAATTGGAAGACGTGGGTGGCTTTTTTTTCCTTTCAAAGGTTTCGCTTTGCGTATCGCTTTGGCAACTGTGGATTAGATAGGCCTGCTTTTAAATGCTAACTGAACCTCAGGCCTCTCCCATTCCTAGTCCCCATCACCAGCTGCTCTCTAGCTGGTAATTTGCCCCTGACTGCAGGGCTCTGGGCTTTATACCTGAGCTGCAGCCCCTACCTGCAGCATGATGCTTGTTATTCCTCCAAAAAGATCCTGGCAGCAACAAAGTGGAAATGCTAGGGACTGGCAGTTATGTCCTGCCCTCTTTCTCAAACTCCCAGGTGCTATGGGAGCTCCTCCTGTCTGCTATCTCCCCACTCCACTCCCTGGGATGTGCTTTGCATCATGTCATTGATGCAATAATATTGCACAAGTGATAGAAGGCTGTCCTTCCACAACAATTCTGCTTTATTAGTTGTTCTGCGATGCTTCTACAGTGTAACCACTGGAGAGCACTGTTGTTCTACAGCACAATGGAATTGGGACAAGAACACCCCCTCTCAATATTACATTTGTTTCATAAAATCCACAGACGGCTTGATTGTTGTTAAAACTCCTCAAAACGGTTTAGAAAGGCAATAAAACAATAGAAATATAAGCAAAAACAACCCTTTAAAGCTTTCAAAAGACAAAATCAGCAGTAAACAAAAAATGGATTAAAACATACTACATGTCTGAGTAAGGTAAAGGTAAAGGGACCCCTGACCATTGGGGTTACAGCGCTCATCTCGCTTTATTGGCCGAGGGAGCCGGTGTACAGCTTCCGGGTCATGTGGCCAGCATGACTAAGCCACTTCTGGCGAACCAGAGCAGTGCACGGAAACGCCGTTTACCTTCCTGCCGGAACGGTACCTATTTATCTACTTCCTCTTTGACATGCTTTTGAACTGCTAGGTTGGCAGGAGCAGGGACTGAGCAACGGGAGCTCACCCCGTCGCGGGGATTCGAACCGCCGACCTTCTGATCATCAAGTCCTAGGCTATGTGGTTTAACCCACAGTGCCACTCGCATCCCTACATGTCTGGGTAGGCTTGTCTAAACAACAGTGTTTTTAACAAGGGCTGAACAGAGTACAGTGAAGGCACCTACCTGATGTCAACAGGCAGGGAGTTCCACAGTGTAGGTGGTGCCACACTGAAAGATTGATTTCTTATGAATGCAGAATGGGTATTAAGGAGTACCCGGAAAAGTGCCAGTTTTGCAGATCAGTGTGTGTGTGGGAAATCCTCATGAAAATTCACCAGCATTTCGGTGCTAATTTCTCCCAATAAACACACTTCTGTATGTAGTTTTGACTAAAGAACACATTTTTGTGAGCAAAGTTTCCTAACAATGAATTTTTGTGTGTCGTTTTCATTAGTGCATTCATTAGTAGGCATTCTTTACCCTGGTGTATGCATTTTTGCAAGCCCTGGTCTGTCAGAGAACTGCATTGCGAAAGTTCAGAGAAGTGTGAATTTCGAAGGATGGCTGTGTTTCGATTACCATATTGCTTCTGAAGGTGTAAATCTGGTAGATTCACTTTTATTTATTTATATTTTTTCATAAAGTTTTATTTGGTTTTACAAGTTCATTCACACAAATAAAATTCTTGCAATTTTTAAAATTAGAACAAGATTCTTCCGAATCTTAGGACTTCTCTCCTCCTCTCCGTGGGTTCTTTAAATACCTTTGCCAACTGCATATGATAAACTCATCCAAATTACAGTCTTCCATTATATCCAAAGTCTTTGTGACCTTGCAAGAGTTATTTAAAGCCTGTCAAAGAGTTCAAGTGTTTACAGTGTTCTTTTAGATGCAGTCTATATTTGTCCCATTCTCTATTGAAGTTTTGATCCTCCCAATTTCTGATTTTCCCAGTCAGTCTTGCCATCTTTGCATAGTCTAGTATTTTCATCTGCCAGTCTGCTTTCGTAGGTATCTTATCAGTTTTCCAACTCTGAGCAAGCAGTATCCTTGCAGCTGTACATAAACAGTCTTTTCAATTCCTTCGGTATCTCTGCACCTACAATTCCTAACAAAAGGGCTTCTGGTTTTTTAACAAAAGTTATTCTAAACATTTTAAAAAGTTTATTATATATCGTTTCCCAGAATTCCTTTATTGTTTTACAGTTCCACCACATATGATAGAAGGTGCCCTGGAAGATTCACTTTTAAATGTGAACTGAATTGAGTTCCTTCCCCATCCCTACATGTACACGACTGGCCCTGACAATGCAGTGAAAAACAGAGAGTTAATACAGGCGACGGATCATGCTCTGCTCCTGCGGTATCACTTCCCACCCCAGACCTTGGTTTTGGTGACCATCTTCCATATGGCAACTTTGATTTCGTTGTTCCTCAGGGTGTAGATCATGGGGTTCATTAAGGGGAAGACCACAGTGTGGAAGATGGCGACCAACTTATCAAGAGCGAAGGCCTGGAAGGGGCGGCAGTACATGTAGATTGCGGGAGCAAACATGATGAAGACGATGATGATGTGGGTGACGCACGTGGAGGCTGTCTTGCCCTTCCCTTTGGTGGAGCTGGACCTCACCTTGGACAGAAGGGCCCCGTAGGAGATGAGGAGGAGAATGAAACATATCAAAGTGGCCAAGCCGCTGTTGAAGAACATGACAAACTCCAGGTTGTATGTGTCGGTGCAGGCCAGCTTGATGATCTGGTTGATGTCGCAGAAGAAGTTGTCCAGCTTGTTTGGGCCGCAGAAGGGTAGCTGGATGATGGGAATGAACTGGATCAGGGAATGCATTAAGCCAAGGAGCCACACGGTTGCAACCAGTCCCCAGCAGACAGCTTTGCTCACCACGTTGCCATAACGCAGAGGGTGGCAGATGGCCACGTACCGGTCAAAGGCCATGCCAATGAGGAGGAGGAATTCGGCCGCTCCCAGCCAGTGGAGGAAGAAGATCTGGGACATGCAGCCCCAATATGAGATGGCTTTCCGCTGCGAGTACAGGTCAGACAACATCTTGGGCGGGGTGACTGAACAGTAGCAGAGGTCTAGGAAGGCCAGGTTGCCCAGGAAGAAGAACATGGGGGAGCTGAGGCGGGGGTTGCTCAAGATGGTCACGATGATGAGGATGTTCACAGGCAAGATGAGGGTGTCAAAGAAGAGGAAGAGGACAAAGAGAAAGAGCTGGACCTCCCTTCTCTGAGAGAGACCCAGCAGCACAAACTCCTTCACCATCGTGGTGCGGTTGCCCCACTCCATCCTCTTGGGGTTGCCTCCTGCAACATACACTCACATACATCCTCACACTGGAAGGACTGCAAGCTGTACACAAATCAGAAATCACCAACATGAAACAGCTTCTAAAACCTGGATCCGCTAGAGAGGACAAGGTGCAGACTTGAGGGATTTACTTTGAATTTAACTAAAAAGGGTGGAAAGCTTCAGGCTTGGGGACTGAATGTGACCCCAAGGCCTCGCTATCTGGCCCTTGGAATTCTCTGCTGGTTGACTGGTCTTGAAACAGTAGACCAGGCTCCCCCAACCTGGTGGTCTCAAGATGTTCTTGGACAACAGCTCCTCCTTTCAGCTAAGAACAAGCGTATTGCCTGCCAGGTTTGTTTGACCACAAAAAAACAGGGGAGAATGAGTCATATATTTGTTAATGGAATCTATTGTAAGATTGGAGGGCTTGACAGGAGAGGTTCAATGGGCTCGATGGACTGCTTAAAGTTGGTCTAACATAGAATCATAGAACTGTAGAGTTGGAAGAGACACCAAGGGCATAGCTGTCAACATTTCCCTTTTTTAAAGGGAAATTCCCTTATTCTGAATAGGATTCCTCGCAAGAAAAGGGAAAAGTTGATAGCTATGACCAAGGGTCATCCTAGCAATACAGGAATCTTGCCCACAGTTGCCACTGAAGCATGTTGGTCAGGCATATCCATTTGTGATGTAAACTGCAGGAAATGTATTAACGTGGGAACTAAATCATTAAGCAATTGTATCTCGATGCAGGATGACTGGGGGGGGGGGAGTGTTCTGAAAAGAACAAGCAGAGAAGGGAGAAGACCCTGCGCCCAGCTCAAGATGGGGGTGGATATGTGTTTGCGAATGAAATGAACAGAACAGAGTGCATTTGTATGAGAGAGAAAGGCACAGAGAGCTGAGCTTGGGTTCTGAAAGCATCTCAGGGGCTTGGCTGTCGCTTTAGAGATCTGATGTGGGAGCCATGTGAAAAGTACCATATTTTTTGCTCTATAAGACTCACTTTTTTCCTCCTAAAAAGTAAGGGGAAATGTGTGTGCATCTTATGGAGCCAATGCAGGCTGCGCAGCTATCCCAGAAGCCAGAACAGCAAGAGGGATCACTGCTTTCGCAATCCCTCTTGTTGTTCTGGCTTCTGAGATTCAGAATATTTTTTTTCTTGTTTTCCTCCTCTAAAAACTAGGTGCGTCTTATGGTCTGGTGCGTCTTATAGAGTGAAAAATATGGTGCTTAGGTTCTATGGGCAACTTGTACGTCTGTAAATATTTACCAAATGCCCACAAACCTGCAGTAACCTCCTTCCAAAGAGAAGCAAACCCAGGTTAGGTGCAGCACCCTGAGAACATTTCACCATCCAGAGATACGCTTCCCACGCAGAAAGTCTCAGAATTCAATCCCCAGCATGTTTAAGGAATGTAAAGTAGTAAGTGGTGTGAAGGACCCCTTGTTGGAAGCCAAGAGTCACTGCCTACCAGAACAGACATTACTTGGCCAGATGGATAAATGGTCTCACTATAAGACAGCTTCATTTATTCCTATTCGAATGAGCTCCGAACACTGAGCTACAGCATGCGCAGTAGACCATTGCAGGAGCAACATGCTGACAACCTCCATTTGCAAGAGCTGCAATTGAAATAATAGAATCATAGAATTGGGAGAGACCCCAAGGATCATCTAATCCAACCCCCTGCAATGCAGGAATATGTAGCTGTCTCACACAGGGATTGAACTAGCAACCTTGGCATTATCAGCAGTTTGCTCAAACCAACTGAGCTGCCTGGGCATATAGTGCACTCTTCCTGTGTCTGATGTACTTCCTAGCAAAGAGGGGAGATTGTTTTGCCCGCTGTTCATTGTGTGATGGATGAACATAAGATGAGTCCTGCTGGATCAGGCAAGTGGTACATCTAGCCCAGCACCCTGTTCTCACAGTGCTCAAGCAGATGTCTAAGGGAAGACCTGAGCACAGCAACGCCCCCCCCCCTTCTGTGGTTTCCATCATCCATCAACCGGTATTCAGTCTTCAGCAGTGGAAGTAGAACCCAGCCATCAGGGTTAGGAGTCACTGATAGCCTTATCCTCCCATAGATAGATGGATGAATGAATGAATGAATGAATGAACGAACAAATGAATGAATAAATAAATAAATAAAAAATAGCTTATGACCTTCTCATGGGCATCTGGGAAAAGAAAAGAAGCCAGGGCTATTGCATCTTTAACAGTTGTCTAGGAGAGGGAATTTCAGCAGGTATAGCAGGAATGAGAAGCTGAAATTCTCATTACCGACGAAAGAATGGCAAATGAAATTAGATAAATTAACAGGAAGGATTTGAAACCTGCGGGACCAGAGATTCTTAGAAGACTGGAGTAAATATCTGAGCTATTTGAAAAGCAATTGTAATAAGCAGATTACGCTAGTAGGACTGCAAGAAGTTCTGTAAGGAGGATTATATGAAATATTGCAAGGAAGAGAGTTATTAGTTAATGGCAATTAAAAGTAATAGAGAAATTAAGAAATGCAGAATAAGTGATAAAGAACGGAAAATCTTCAGAGGTTGTTGACGGAAGTCTAAAATATTGTATAAGATAAGAAGTTATGTTAAAGGACTGTTGGAAATGATACATTAAATATATATATAAAGAGAAGCTGAAATTCTCTGTTCTATGACCTATTAGAGCAGGAGGAGCCCCATCCTGAATTTTCACCCGGTTTCCTGAACCAGACCTAGACATGCTTTCCACAAGGCTGCTGTGTCATAGTCTTGGCCCTTTCAAAATAGTTTAAAGCTCAAACAATCTTAGGTTCAAATAAGACACAGGTAGACACTGGAGGCATGGTTGGTTAGCAGAATAAGATGTGAAGAGAGAGAGAGAGAGAGAGAGAGAGAGAGAGAGAGAGAAAGAGTCAATGAAGGAAAGGCAGAAGAGGAGCATCAGGAATGACTTACCATGCAGGATCTTGGTGCAACAAGAGATGCCCTTAGTTGGCCACAGGTCTTCACACCTCCCAATACTAAATCAGCTCCTGCCCCATGAGAATCCCTTGAATGGGAGAACGGATCTGCTCCATGTTTAGACCTGGAAGGAAGCCCAACTTAGAGTTCAGGGAGCTTGTTAAAAAGAAAAAGAAAAAAGATAGTGGCTGGGTTTGCAAGTGATGGCAGCATCCCCCAGGATGGGAAGGTGGGAGATGAATCAAGAATGAATCCAGATTGGAATGAGACTTCACTTCCGCAGCAGTGTACAATGTTATAGGATTGGAGGGTCAGTCTGGGTGACATTTGTGGTTCCCTTTCAGTCTTACGATCATGTAGCTGTGAGGTTTAGAAGCTAGTGAAAGGACACATTGAATTAGGGCACGTGTTACAGCATTAATGATCATGCCAATCTGCCTGGTTGCTAAGCAATAGCTCCACCCATCTCACTCTTGTACAAAAGTTGAATTCATATTTATTCCTTTGCCCACTTTTGCTTCTGGCTCTGCCCACCACTAGTGTGTGGCCCCCAGAAGGTTGCACAGAAGCTAATGTGGCCCTCAGCCTGAGAAAGATTGTCCACCTAGCCTTATGCTTTGGCAAACCCACTTCTTCAAACTCCATCACTAATTACTTTCTTTCATTTCATACCCCAAAATCTGTGTTTGCCCATCAGCTTCCACATGGCTTGTTTGATCTCCATGTTTCTCAGTGTGTAGATCATGGGATTCATTAGGGGGAAGACTACAGTGTGGAAAATGGCCACCACCTTGTCGAAGGGATAGTCCTGGAAGGGACAGCAGTAGAGGTAGATGATGAACATGATGAAGATGAAGATGATGTGGTGATGCAGATGGAGGCAGCTTTGCTCTTCTCTTGGTCAGATCCTATCCTCACCTTGACCAGAAGGGCTCCATAGGAGATGAGGAGAAGGATAAAAGTTGGCCAGACCACTGTTGAAGAACATGATGAACTCCAGGATGTGGGAACCTGTGCAGGCCAACCTGACAATCTGGTTAATGTCACAGAAGAAGTTGTCTAGCTTATTGGGACCACAAAGGGGGAGTGGCATGATAAGGATAATTTGGATGACGGAGTGCACAAATACTAGACACCATGATGCTAGGCCCGAAATGCAGTAGACTGCTCTGGCGACTAGACTGGTGTAGTGCAGCAGGTGACAACAGGCCACATAGCAGCCAATGGCCATGGCAATGATAAGGAAGAACTCGGACCCACCAAGAAAATGGAGGAAGAAGATCTGGGCCATGAAATCCTTGTAGGAGATCGTCTTGTGGTAGGAGAAGAAATCAGCAAGCATCCTGTCTAAAACTCTGGAGAGCCACAGCCAATCAGTGTGGAAACTATTGAACTAGATCAGGCACCCCCAAACTCGGCCCTCCAGATGTTTTGGAACTACAACTCCCATCATCCCTAGCTAATAGGACCAGTGGTCAGGGATGATGGGAACTGTAGTCCCAAAACATCTGGAGGGCTGAGTTTGGGGGTGCCTGAACTAGATGTTCCAATGACTCAGTAGAACATAGTTTCCTATGTACCCATGTAAAGAAAGAAAAGCTTAAGCTATGATGTCTGTAACATTAACTATGACTTGAAGGACTTGCCACAAAATGCTGCAGAACATCATGCTTGGGGACCAAATGCAACTCCATCTGGCCCTTGAAACTCTCCTCAGGCCACACCTCCTTTTCTCAGGCCACACCCCTCACACACCCACACCCCAACCGGTGGATTTTGCTTGGCTGGAATGTGGCCATGAACTCTGCTAATACCTCATGCTCGTCTGGTTGGGGGATGGAGAAGGGTGTGTGTAGAAATGGGTCTACTATACAAATGTGAAATTTCCATTCACTTCTCTGCCCGCTTTTGCCACAGGTCCACCACTGGCCCTTGGAAGTTTTGCTAGATGCAAATGTGGTTCCAGGGCCAAAATAAGTTCCCCCATCCCTGCACCTGACCCACTGACTTCTTTGTAGCTATGGTACTTTTGGGTACCTTTCTTTTAGATGGGTACTGTCAGGGAACTGCCATCAGCTCAGAGGCGAGAAATAGAAGGGCAGTTGTGTTACAGGGAGCCTCTGAAAATCTTGCGAAGCAGTTTCTCTTCCGGGGAGGAGGAAAGTCCCACCTCTAGTGGGGAAGAGGTGCAAGGACCAGAGGATGATTGTGGGAGCCTTAACACAGCTCCAGGGCAAGGCGGACAGGAGGGAAACATGCCCTTGCCATCATCCATCCTGCGCAGTAGCCTAAGGCGCAAAGAGGGAAGTAGAAGGTTGGGGGTAATGAAACTCTTATGTTGGGGGAGGTCCAAGAAAAGACCACCCCCGGATTCTGTTAGCGCTTGAGCCAGACCTGAGCTTTGAGGCTCTTCACTAAATAGTTTGCGCCAAAATAAAAACCTGTAAAACACAGGTTTTGAGTCCTGCCTGGTTACTCTCGAGCAACCGCAACAGCCATCTGACAGATACTAAGTGCATTGCAAGCAGCAATTGACATTGCTGGAATGTTGTCCCTATTTTCAAAAAGGGGAAAAGAGAGGACCCAAATAATTACCGCCCAGTCAGTCTGACATCAATACCAGGGAAGATTCTGGAGCAGATCATTAAGCAAACAGTCTGTGAGCACCTAGAAAGGAATGCTGTGATCACCAATAGTCAGCATGGATTTCTGAAAAATAAGTCATGTCAGACTAACCTGATCTCGTTTTTTGACAGAATTACAAGCCTGGTAGATGAAGGGAATGCAGTGGATGTAACCTACCTTGATTTCAGCAAGGCATTTGACAAGGTGCCCCATGATATTCTTGTAAAGAAGCTGGTAAAATGCCGTCTTGACTATGCTACCACTCAGTGGATTTGTAACTGGCTGACTGACCGAACCCAAAGGGTGCTCATCAATGGTTCCTCTTCATCCTGGAGAAGAGTGACTAGTGGGGTGCCACAGGGTTCTGTCTTGGGCCCGGTCTTATTCAACATCTTTATCAACGACTTGGATGATGGACTCAAGGGCATCCTGATTAAATTTGCAGATGACACCAAATTGGGAGGGGTGGCTAACACCCCAGAGGACAGGATCACACTTCAAAACGACCTTGACAGATTAGAGAACTGGGCCAAAACAAACAAGATGAATTTTAACAGGGAGAAATGTAAAGTATTGCACTTGGGAAAAAAAAATGAGAGGCACAAATACAAGATGGGGGACACCTGGCTTGAGAGCAGTACATGTGAAAAGGATCTAGGAGTCTTGGTTGACCACAAACTTGACATGAGCCAACAGTGTGACGCGGCAGCTAAAAAGCCAATGCAATTCTGGGCTGCATCAATAGGAGTATAGCATCTAGATCAAGGGAAGTAATAGTGCCACTGTATTCTGCTCTGGTCAGACCTCACCTGGAGTACTGTGTCCAGTTCTGGGCACCACAGTTCAAGAAGGACATTGACAAACTGGAACGTGTCCAGAGGAGGGCAACCAAAATGGTCAAAGGCCTGGAAACGATGCCTTATGAGGAACGGCTAAGAGAGCTGGGCATGTTTAGCCTGGAGAAGAGGAGGTTAAGGGGTGATATGATAGCCATGTTCAAATATATAAAAGGATGTCACATAGAGGAGGGAGAAAGGTTGTTTTCTGCTGCTCCAGAGAAGCGGACACGGAGCAATGGATCCAAACTACAAGAAAGAAGATTCCACCTAAACATTAGGAAGAACTTCCTGACAGTAAGAGCTGTTCGACAGTGGAATTTGCTGCCAAGGAGTGTGGTGGAGTCTCCTTCTTTGGAGGTCTTTAAGCAGAGGCTTGACAACCATATGTCAGGAGTGCTCTGATGGTGTTTCCTGCTTGGCAGGGGTTGGCAGAGTTGGACTCGATGGCCCTTGTGGTCTCTTCCAACTCTATGATTCTATGATTCTATGATTCTATGACATTCCGGCTGATTTTCTTGCAATGTCTCCCTGGACTCAGTTACATTAATAAAGATACAGCAATTTGAATGCGCTATAAACATACAACACCAGATGGCGCCAGAGAACAGGAAATTTTAAAACACACTTTTTCATAGAGATTTCTTTCTTTTTTTATAATGATCTAATCTCTGACTTATTTATAGCGCTTTTTTCCCTGTGTCTAGATCCATCCCCTGTTAATTATTCATTTGCGGCACACTTTTTCAGTGCCAGAAGAATACTGACAGCCTAGAGCTAACGCAACACTTTCTTGACTGCAATTCATGCCAAATGTGATTGTGAAAATCTCCTGCACTTCTGGAACCCAGGGCAGCTGATGTTCTATCTTGTTTCCCCAACTGCAGGCTCTTTACTGTAGTTCACATCACGTTTGTTTTTGTTTTTTGGCATATTGTGGCCTGGATGATTGGATGTGTTGAGTACTGCAAATTTATTCATTTTAAAAGTATATAGCTTCATCCTTCATTGGTGCCAATACTATGGCAAGATGCAACATAAAACCTCATTGATAAAACAGTAAACTGAGGGTTGTCACTCCTTTTAGGACCCATGGGCACATCTGGAGTTCTGGTCAACTGGTATAATTTACATTACTTTCACAGTTATATGTTGCACTGCTGCATGGTCTGCCAGCCACTTGGAACTGTGCATAGCCAGAAGTCCCTGTGCACTAAATATTTATTACATGAAGTAATCAATGTCTGTATTCTGATTTATTTTTAAAAGCTCATTCTGCTTTGAAGGCTTTGGAGTGGGCAACAACACTTAAAACTGAGCCGAACCAGACAGAAAAAAATTAAAGCATTATTTTTAATGTCAAAATACTGTAATATGAACCTCAAATTTTAATTTACACCATACTAGCTCAAATGCTAGCTATGAAGGACCAACCTGACCAAGAAAGGCTTTGGGTGTTTAAGAAACAAAATGATCTTGCTCAAACATTTGGTGAGTTTCCAGTAGAAGAGAGTTTCCTGGTTTTGGAGAGGTCACTGGAACGCCATTGTGTGGACATGGGGTAGTAGCCAACATTAAACATACTCAGAGTAAACCTACTGAATATAATTGGCATATCTAACTTTGGTCCATTAATTCCAATGGGTCCATTCTGATAATGAAG